TGTTTTTCTGTGATAGATGTGTTATAAGGAAAGTTCAACTACATTATAACTATTAGTGCAATGGATGAACGTTAGTTTCATGTTAGTGTTTGTTAGTATTGACCCTTATTCAGCCCTGTCGGCCCCTCGAACACTAGTTGCAGGCAGTTGTTGTTAGGACATGCGACACTGTCACTGCTACTATGTTAGAGGTATGACCCGTCAAGTTTCGAAGTGCAAAAAAAAAATTGTTAGAACTTTCTTATAAATTAACTTTACACTCAAAGCAAACTATTTACCTTAGCATTACAAAAGCGAATTTAAAATTACTAATTTTTTTATGCTAATATTAAAACTATTATAAAACTACAATTTACGGCTCCGTCAAATTAACTCGCTTGAACCGTTCAAATCAATGAACTGAAAAAAAACTAGAATTTTAACAAATTAAAAAAAAATCATAGCGACACTTGACAAATCATCATCAAGCCCCTCATCCTTGGACAGGGACTTTCTCTTTCGTTAATAACTTAAGCACATAACTGTTTCTTGTTGTATTTGTCGTATTGGATGCTAGATAAAAACTTCTTTTATCGATATATGCCCAGAAAAAAAAACTGGTAATGTCTTTAATTGGCCATGAGGATACAAAGAGAAAGTCGACAAAGACAATCTGTCAATGTTACTTAGGACCTAATAATGCAATGTTCAGCTTGAAATGATTGTTTGCGTCTCATCCTTTAAGTCAAAGATGGATTCCGTCATGTGTAAAATTAGTTGTTTCTAAGAGTGTATATGAACAAGTGTGAGGACCAGGGCTCTACATTTTCGAAGCTCTAAAATGAACTCGAGTTTTGTTTCTCTCATACAAACGCTTCATTTCTATAACGCCTAGCTAGACTATCAGCAAGAAATGATAATGAAAAAGAAGCACGCTTAGAAGGAAACGCTGGCTGTGGATCTTCTCGTCGTTGCTTTGCTCATCGCTTTCAATGTAATAGCGAATTCGTTTATTATCGGGGTTGGAACCAGTTCCAACCCAGTGCGAAACCGAACTTTTTGTCAGTGCGAACCTCAACCTGAGCTGGGTTTTAAAAACAAACGATCAAACTGACGTTTGTCAGAAAACAAGCAGACCAAATCTTGATACCCGATCCAGGTTGGAACTGAATAATAAACGAATTCGCTATAAGTAACGTTTTCTAGTTAAACGAAACCTCATTATGGCTTTCAATCCCCTTTCACGAACACTCTATCACCGCTCTTTCAATTTGTTTAAAATGCGTTATGTCCCGTTTTCGTTAATTTATTTTTAGATAAATATGTGGATGGAAGATAAATTAAACATATTACGTGTAATCTTCAAGTGTTTAAATGTGTAATTTCATTTTCCGTCATCTTCCCTCTGTTTCATGAAAGAGAACTATCAAAGTCGAGCGCTCTTTCTCTCATCCGTTTCACCGAAGCTTGAAAGGAAGACCAATGGAGCGACGGGAGAAAGAGAGACAAGCGATTGAACATTTGTTTGTGCACGCCGACTGAGGTTCTAGAATGCTGCGAAGCTGTTCGATTTTAACAGAAAAAGAAAGCAGTCTCTTCGTCGCATCGATTTGGTCGATTGAAGCTAATATTGTGACGCCCTGGTGAGGACATCTTTTCAGTGCAGATATTTTGAAGGCATTTAAATATCAATTATCTCTCAATTTTGATCAAACATGCACAGAGATTTCAAATTTAGATCATAGCTGTCCGACTGCCTTCATGTTTACGTCGGTGTTAATCAATACGATCCTGAACAAATATTTGGAAGTCCTCCAATCAGGGCCAGTTTTAAAAGTTGATCCAAGTTGAAGCCTACCAGCATTAAAGAACGTTCATTCTCTACTTTTTTTTTGTAAAGTCAAACCAGAAAATCTTAATTTCTTGAAATTCTTATGATTTGTTCTGTTAGAGTTCAAGAAGTCCCTGCTGTTGCTAATGCTAATAGAGTTCTTCAGCTCCTAGCAGTCGTAGAATTCTCAGACTTCTCAAGAGCTCTACATGTTGCTAGAGGACGAGAAGACCCAGGAGAACTGAAAATTGCTGAGATTCAGAGTTCCTTGGCGCTTCAAGAGTTCCCTGAATAATTCTGAGACCTCTAGCTGTTCCTAATCATCCTTTTTCCAGGAGTTCTAAAAATCATGCAGCCGTGGAAATATTGAAGTTTGTCTTTCAAATTTTGCAGACTATCAAAATGCCTTGGAGTCTTAAGAGTTTTAAAAATTTCTGGGGCTCAAGAAGTTCCTTTTGATATTACTTGCGCTTCGGAGAACTATACCTACTTGGAATTTGAAAGGTGCTGTATATTTTGAAAGTTCTCAGATGATTTTTAACACACTTCTATCACAAAAAGTTGCAGCAACTTGTATGAATGAGTCATATAGAAATGTCTGCACCTGATTTGTGACTAGCGTGCTGTGCAGAACGTCTCAATATTCTAAGAGTTCTTGCAATTATTATTTTTCGTGTAGTTGAGGGAATTTGGAAAGTTTTAAAGCCTCAGTAAGTTTCAGATGACACTGGAATTCTATAAATGTTTGCATTAATATTTTTTTTATGGAAGCTCTATAGTTTTTTGGATGTGGAAAATTTGAAAGGTTTTGGAATTAAAGATGTAAGTTAAATGAGTGGTTAAAGGTTAAGTATTTCTGGAAATTTCCGCATTTTCAGGACTTTCCGGGTGATCCAATCAATCCCGGGAGCTAGAAAACATGGAAGCACTATTTGAAAGGTGCTGCTTTTCAGGTAATTTCTGTCTAATAATATTTGTACCTCCAGACTGAAAGCATAAAAACTGCTGTAACAACTTGCATACTAAAGCTAAATATGTTATCAACCTACTCTTTAAAAAATATCAATTTAGAATGTTTTATTGCATTTTGACTTAGTTTCATTCTTAGAGATTTCCCAAAAATCATATTTTTACAGTATTTGTTTGCCCTTGTAATATAAAAATATGGACGTTACGGCATTTCGTTCATACATAGTTTTTATGAGTCTTTTACAGATTAATTGATAAAAATCTAAAAGGAGGTTGTAATGGATAAAATCCACTGCACAACACAGTCAGGAAGAGCTGCAACAAAAAACGAAACAAAGTAGCATTGCTATTCTCTTACGACTTGGCTTGTCAGTACCGGAAACTTTTTGTGAGTATCGGCATTTCGCTACCGACAGATTCAGTGACGATAATACCGTAACCAAAGTATTTTAAGGAAATAAATGGATATCGAAAGAATAAAATTAGGAAAACTATACTTGAAGATGCTTAACGACAAATATCAGACTTAAAGTGTTCATTTTATATGATAGATGAGGAGATGAAAGTATAGAGTCACTTTAAGTCTGATATTTGTGGTTAAGTATCTCCAACTATGTAAATCGTTAACTTCACGCATGAAGTAATACAAACATAATTAGTTAAAGTAAGAAAAACTATTTATTTAAAGGAGTTCAGTCTGGTGTTTCACATCCATTCTCGGTCACTACTTAAAACCTGCTGTAACAACAGTTAACATGTTTTCAGTCTCGAGATACTTTCAATACTCCAAAAACTCCATAAACTGCAAGAAATAAGCCCTCAAAAACACATGACAATACAGAGATTGTAGGAAGCCTTAGAACTCTTCAAATTTTCTCTAGGCACATATTGAGCAGTTCCATGCCAATTGCCGAATCGGTCAGTCGCGACCTTCTCCGGTTTGCATGAAACTTTCCTAATTTGTTGGCTATGGTTAATCATTCACCACAGACCATAAATAAAAAAAAAATATGGAAAATTACCCGCAAATCGGGAAAGGTAGCGTCAGACCGATTCATCATTTGGCGTGGAATTGTTCCTATCATGAATGAACTCCAATAATTTCATAAACTACCGGTAAATCAGCTTTATTTGCATAATTTTGCTGACTCTAGTTAGTTCAGGGATTCTGCGATTTACGGAGTTTTCGGTAAAAACAAAACCCTACTGGTCTGATTACTGAAAGCTTACCTGTTAGAATACCCACTAAAATGGGGTGGATTAGGGTGTTTCACCTTCAAATTTTGAATCTGACTGGAATAAATTGGAATTGGTGCTTTTGATTCGATGAATTCAGTCTTATTTTGTTTTGATTCTGATGTTATCAAAACACGTGCTTCTATTTATTCTATTCTAAAGACTACGTTTCGCTTGCTATAAACTAATCGCAGCATACAAAAAAACATCGAAAATTCCATTCATGCAGATGTGTTGGTGTCGTCGTTACCAAGAGCTATCCAGTGGGTGGGGCCTATCCGTAGCAGCAGGGGAAAAATATAGAACACACAGCACAAATACATTCGAACTTACCACTGTGGCTGGAACCTGAAACGATTGCCAAGCTGTGTAGGGGTAGAAAATGCATGCGCAACCTTTGAACGTGCGGCAATAATATCACAAATGCGTTGGCCTATGCAATGCTATGGTTACCAGAGAGCACTACTGAGGGCTGCTTTTAAATGTTTTTGCTTTTATCCCGTGATTCTTCGGCGAAGCTCCATTTCGAGTTTCATGGAGCTGAATTTCCCCTTCTGATTGCTAACTTGATCAACGACGGGATTTTCCCAGCGAGAACAGAATCCGGCATGTAAGGACGCCTCTTTCTTCGGACGTGATTTGGTAGTGAGTAGAGTATTTTCGACTTTTTTTTCTCCAACGGATCAAAACCGTCATCTTTCATCCGCGTTGCTTACGAAGAAGGCCGCATCCTTCCTTCGTGTTCGGTACTGTTTTCTGTCTGGCTGTTCGCGAGTTCTGGTAGTCTCTGGTAACCATGTGGTGCCATCTTCTTTTTGAGGATTGATTAGTGATATCAATTTGGTGAGGGTTGTATACGCCGATCGCTCAGCGGAAGACTAGAAGTTGGTGGAGGGAAATCTCACGGAAACCAAAACGCGGATAGTGAAGAAGTGTAGGCCTATAGCCAGGGAGCGGATTCGGTAAAGACCTAATTACGTCTGGCGGCAACGAATCGTGCGTGTGAGGTGTGAGTTGCTAGCAAGAGTGGTAGAGCAAAAGTGCAAATGTATCGTCGTGACTCGAAGAACTGGGACGCGGGTCGGGGACAGTGACGGTTGCATTCTGAGGATTTAAGCCGCGGACATTACGTAACCATGATCGATCAACAGCAGCAGCTTAGTTACTGTAAGTGGAGTCAATTGTTTGATGGTTGATATTGGTTGTTTCTTTTTCGGGATAGTGAGATAAATTTTGAATAAACTTGATGGGTATACCGACGGTATAAATTGATCTGCCGAAAGCCAACATATTTCACATATTTTTTGAAAGACGCAGTTTACCGACGGACTAGGCCAATAGCTGCTAGGTATTCTAAATTTAGCATGATTGCAGAGGGGCTGTTCATTAACTACGTAGACAGTTTTTTGGATTTCTTGACGGTAGACATTTGTCCATACAAAAAAAAAAAAAATTTGTATGGGCCGTGGAAGATTTACAACCCCCCTAAGCTGTCTACGTAGCTTAAAATTATTTAAAAAAGAATTTAAATGAAGTATGCATATTTGCTTAAAAAAGCTAAAAAGTATTTTTGGTCTGATGAAGAAATTAATAACTAATAATTTGCTTTGTGCAGATGTAATTCAAAGTATTTGTTTAGCGACGGAAGTTCTAGCACAGGACTGCCCGAAGCGCACCAGGTGACAGATCGCCTCTTTGCTTTTTATCAAGGATTCGATAGTCTTTTTTAACTTATCGGCATCAAAATAATACCATTGAATAGTCATTTTTCTTTTTGAATAGTAGCGAAACTTAAGAAAATACTCTGATGCATGTTTCCCTGTTGTACCTTACCCATATGAGGGCCTCAAATAACCTAGTCAGTTAAAGCACGATATTAACCAACAAGGGGCGGTGAGTAGGGGGAGTCCAACATATCTCAACAATGATCTGGTCCAAAATTCTAGCTCTATACAATCTATTATATGTAGTATGTGATCTGAACAGTTTTGCTTTGCGTCGGACGAAAACTTGTGGATGCCGGTAATGTCGGTAATCGGGTCGGTAATAAAGTTCGTGAGCTCCAGAATTCAAAGCCATACAGCTCTGATTGACAAAGCTTACTGTATCTATCAATCTCACTCATTTGAAGTCACATTTGGATGTATAAGACTTTTTAGATTAAAAATACGAAAATGCGTACCGAAATAATCGAATGAAACCCTTAATTGATAATGTAATATGTTTACTTTTGTTCTCTCATTTCTGTTGATATCGGGCTTTGATGACACTTACTATGGACCTCGGCATTCGATAGCCAGTTGTGAGGCTACCGGACACAACTTATATACTGCAGGCATCGGTTAATGAATTCCTGCAGCTTTGGAGGCCTCCCTTAGCTCAGTCGGTAAAGCCGCAACTACAAATCAAGACCATGCTGGAGGTGGCTGGGTTCGATTCCCGGTCCGGTCTAGGAATTATTCGGGTAGGAAAATAGCTCGACTTCCCTGGACATAGAGTATGATTGTACTTGTCACACAATTAAACTAATGCAAAAATGGTACAGGCATCGAAAGCTCTCGATTAATATGAGGAAGTGCATCTAGAAGACTAAGTTGAGAGCACGCAATAAGATTGAAATGGGAAGAAGAATAATTAGAAAGGAGATGATGAACCCGATTTGTACCTAACCTCTAACGAAACTATCAACTCTTAAATTTCATCTGCTCATCTATCGTATAACATGTACACTGAAAGTCTGATATTTGCCGTTAAGCATCTGATTTGGTAGACGTAGAGGAGTACAGATCAGAGTACCGTTGGGCTTGTAAAGTAACGTCATCAGTTGAATCAATGTCGTTGAGATGCTCCATAGTAATAAGCTGTCAATGCGGCTCACAGTTCGCTATAGGTATAAGTACAATTACCGTCGATTACGATGAGAAACAGTAGCGGTGATAGTATACGTCCTTGTCTCACTTCAGCGATGAACCTGATAGTGTTGGACAAGGCTCCATTATGCAGGAGATGTGATTGAGTCGGCCGAAAGCTTATTCGTAGTTAATAAATGCTAGGGTGCTTCCATTTTGATGTTTGAATAGAGATTTCGATGAATTAGTATGGGAAATTATTGATTTACACTTACACTGCTCTAACTTTGGATGTGGTTGTCCAAATCTTGAAAACAAATAGTAAGTTATTGACATAGTCTTCTTCTTTTTCTGTACATCCTTATTTAACGTCGGACTCTGTTCCGCAATCTAGTGCAAATCGCCGACGGACATCAATTGGCATCCATTGACGACAAACGATTGAATGACTAATGAATACCAAATAGACCGGTGCCAATGGTGTAGTGGTAAGTGTGGTTACCACTCACCCCAGCAAGTCTGGGTTCAATCCCAGTCGACGCCACCGGGATGTTTCTGATGCATAACATATCTGAACACGCCTTTCTTCGGAAAGGAAGTAAAGCTGTTGGTCTTCGGTTCATGAGTTGATGATGGGTCGATAAGTAGGGTCCAGGTGAGGGAGCTGCCTCCCTGGCGTCGGTGCTCATCACAAAAACAAGAATCGACGGAAAACAAAATCAAGGAAAAAAAAATAATAATGAGTACCAAATACAGGGACTCTTGTTTTTTGTTATAATTCTGCCTGCTGTCGTCCGAGAGTCGCGTCGATCTTCTCCTGTATTAGATCAGGATTACTTTACACAGAATGTTAAGGACAACACACATATGCGGTTCGCCGATTGTTGCTCACAGTTCTTCCTTCTTTGGGACCTTCACTAACATGCCCTGCTTCGTTGACTGGAAAAGTCACATTGTCCCAGATGTTCCAGAATAATTGATGCAAAATTTGTGCGAATAGTATGGGGTCAGCTTTAAACATCTCTGCTGTTGTATAATCGACCACAGGAGATGGATTGCATACTCCGAATAGCTGCTTCTATCTCCTGCAATGATGGATTTTTTTTTTTTAAAGAGATTTTTAGCCTTAGGCTAGTTCATCTCTTATGCAATGATGAAGCCTCGGTGCTGATGCCAGTGATACGCTGAACCCTTGGTGGATCATGGGGAAATGTTGATGGCTGGTGGGGTTGGATCTGTCACTGGCATCATTTGGTTCATCCTTGTTCCATTCAGGCGTTGTGAGATATCGTAGAAAAGTCGATTGTCTCCAGTTGTAGAGGCGTTCTCCTATTTATTATCTCCTAGCAGATAATGCTTAAATTGCCCAGTGCTGATATTTTCGAGATATTCGTAAGTTAAAAATTACTTATCGTATAATTTGAGAATCTTTCGCCCTTTTAGAATATTATTCATGTGTATCCCGCCTTTAAAATATTTTAACGAAAAGCCCAATAAATTACCTTAAGCTAACAGTTTACAGTTTATAAATTAGATACATGAGCTACATTGGCGTAGATAATGGGGTTGCCAGGGAGCCAGGCTCCCTCCAGAATTATCTAAGCCCCCTCCAGAACTATCTAGGCCCCAATCCAGAATTATCTAGGCCCCCTCAATAATTATTTAGGCCCCCTCCAGATAAATTGTGTAGCTACGACAATGATGAGCTACGAAAGAATAAATCATGAATAAGAGGCCGTGCGCAGAAGTGCGTGATAACCTTTTCGGGTTATCGTCTCTACCATGTGAAATATATGATTCAACCATTTGTAATATAGTTCGCATACAGTACTTCTTTAATGGGGCATTCATTTCATTAAAAAAACGGATTCAATAAAACAGAGTTGTGCTGTGTGTTTATTCAATTCACATTACATAATTACATTTATAGAAATATACCATTATGCCTTAATCCTACTCAATACCTATTTAAACAGATTGAAAATTCTTCATCATGATCTGAACAGTTTGAGAACAGTTGTGGTTGATGCAGGAAGCGTGACCACCCGATCATAATGTCATAATTATTTATTTATTTTGTCGTCAATCAGATGTAGACCATTTTTTACAAGTTAAAAGTCATGTGTTAAAATTACGAATAGTTTACTTAAATCTTTGGTTTTAATTTAATTAGTAGGTTCCGATTCAACACATTGTAGTTTCATTTTTATACCTGTGATCTTGACTTTTATACCTATGGGATGAGTACTTAAGGGGGTTAGATTTTGAATAGTTCTTTAGTGGGAATGACACTGATGAAGACTGCACATTGTAGTCGAAATACGTATCTGTCATGGACATCAAAATTAATTAAGTGGAATTAAATGGAAGATAACCTTTTTTTGCAGTTTTATTTTTTTTTGGGTTTGATTTTCACCTTTGAATATAACTATTTGTTGGCGATTAGTTAAATATGACTCAAGCCATTTAAGAAGTCCAGGTTCAATTCCTATTTTTTGTAATTTGAAAAGAAGCATGGGTATATCAATACGATCAAATGCTTTGCTAAAATCGGTATAGAGTGCTTCTACATGGTTTCTATCATCCATTTCAACCAAGGAATAGTTGACGAATTCAAGTAAATTTGTATTAGTTGATCGTCCTTTGAAGAAACCATGTTGCATGTTAGCGATTCTGTTTTTGATCTGATTGAATAGTTTTTCATTGACGATCGCTTCGAAAAGCTTTGGGATACAGGAAATGACATATTGAAAAGCCAGAATAATGGAGCTGTAAGTTCCAATGCCAGGCTCTTCATAACTACTGGTGGAATTCCGTCTGGTCCAGAGCCTTTGGAAGCATCCAAATTGTTCAAAGTTGCCATAATATCCTGCACATTAACTTGATTAACTTATATATCACTAATACATTCTGGGATGAATTCAAAATAATCACGATCACGATCATCTTCTGAAAAAGAGGTGTAAATTTCTAGGCACGAAGTAGCAAATAGATTGCAGATATCGGCTGCGTTGTCACCAACCGTTTCATTAAAATGCATTTTTGATGGAAAATTATCTGATTTTAATTTAGTCTTAACGTAATTGAAGAATTTTTTTGGACTAGATTTTATTTCGAGTTCGGTTCTTGAATTGTACTCCTCAAATGCAATATCAATTGTCTTATTTAATTCATCGCACAATTTCGTAGGTCGTACAAGCACCAAACCGACAGTGGTACCGGTGGTGTAATGGTAAGTGCGATTACCTCTCACCCCAGCAGGCCTGAGTTCAATCCAACACACTTAGAAATAACTACTTTCATGTAAAATTAAGTGTT